ATGAAATAAATAACTTAATAAAATTGGCGAACAAGTTTGGATTAGGTTCTTTATCTTTAGAAACTAAAAAACCTAACACTACAGCGTGGATAAATAAAACGAAACCTTACTTTGTGGATCAAATCGGAGACACTCTTCAAGGTGATTTAGATATGAACAATTTCAATGTAGCTAATTTAAAATCTCCGGAAAATGATAATGAGATATTTACGGGAACAAATAAATTCAATTGAAATAAATAAAAACCATTTAGAAGATAAAATAAGTAATGTGAAAAGATTCTTCAAACGTCAACTAAATAATAAAAATTTTGTTAATGATACTAAACTACAACAAGAGGTAGAATGTTTTTATTCAAAAAGAATTAGTCAACGTTGTGAACAAAACTGAGTTACAAAATTTAATTTCATTAATATCTAAATTAGATGATAAGATTACAAAACAAAAATTAGACATTCAACAATTAATAGATAACATTTCAGATGAAAATGAAGATACAACAGGAATTAAATGCTCTGGAAACTAAACTTAACAGTGAATTACAAAAAGAACTAACAAATATAAAACAACAAATACAAAACATAGATGATAGCGAAATCAAAACCTATATTCAGCAACAAATACAAAACATAGATGATAGGGAAATCAAAACCTATATTCAACAAAAAAATACAAAACATAGATGATAGCGAAATCAAAACCTATATTCAACGACAAATACAAAACATAGATGATAGCGAAATCAAAACCTATATTCAACAACAAATACAGAACATTGATGATAGTGTTATTCAACAACAGATAACCACTATTAATAACTTATTTTTAAAACAGGACAAAAATATAGTCGCATTAGAAAAGTATCTCGAGGAAGAAAATAAATCATATTATTTTAATCTTCCATTTAGAAAGATGAGTTTTATTGATGCTTCCATTACTGATAATATTGATAAATCAAAAGATTATGAATTGAAAAATATGGATTTACATCAAATATAAGAGTATTTTCTGTTACAGATGATATTAACCCCCCAGGTCTTTTTGATACAGTTGATATTATTTGTCAAACACTTTTTACTTTCCGAGGAAAACTCCTAATTGAAATAACTTTTCCTTTACAGGTAAAAGTTCATTCAATATTCTTCAGACAATACTCACGATTTTCATCTAATCAATTTAACGCTCGTAAAGTTCTTCAGTTTATCAATGGTACAGAAAATGTAGAAACTAAAGAATTAGAAATTAACGACGAAAACAGCAAGCTTAATCACATATATGAAATTAAAACGAGTGGAAAATATATAGATAGGTTTAGAATGTTAATCATAATGATAAAGAAAATAAAAATCTTCTTGGATTGGGTGATTTTGATATGATATTGGAGACGGAAACTCCACCATCAATAAATATTATTAGAAATCCAGAA